GTCACGGCCTGTCTCGGCCCCCTTCGAGGTGATGAATCGCCGAAGCTCCGGCTTCTCGGACGACTATAGTCGCATGTCAGTCGCCGACACTCTGAGCACATGCACAACAAGTCCGGCCGCTATCGAATGGAAGTCCCAGGATGTCGAGGGCTTTTCGGCTCTCGAGACCGACACCAAACTCTTAACGACAAAGACGCCTTACCTTGTCGTTACCGCAGACTATCTCGTCAAGGTTAAGAACCGCGCCGATGTCTTCTCCCTGTTCCCTCAGCTTCAGAGCGATGGCCAACGACCAGCGAGCTTGGGCCCCCCGCCAGAACCTATCCTCGTCATCCCGACTACCTCGATTGTATCCGTATTTGTGGCCGAGAGCACCAAACCGTCCTTTGGTCTAGAAGTATGGTGGAAGGCACAATCTGGGGTCTCCTTCCTTCATACAACCTTCTACTTTGACCTTCCTACCGACAGAGATGAGCAACTATACAATGTTGTTCAGACGATCCGAGGGCCCCATATCGAGGACGAGGATTTTGCGCGTCGCTCGGTCGAGGTATCCGAGCTCATCAGGACGATTCAAGAAACCGAGGAGCCCAAGTTTATCAACCATAATCTGCAAATATTTCCCGTAGTACCACGAGGCATCACCCGAAAGGAGTCTAGCTTCAAGCAAGAGGATGACCCCAAGAAGCCACAGGAAAGCCCCGCTTTCTACCTGGTCATTGGACCTCATCTCTGTTATTTTATTGAGCTGCAGAGGGGCAAGAACGGCGACCTGGTTTGCAAGCACAAGACTTTTGGTCTAGTAACCCTGGAACTCTTCAAGGCCGACTGGACCATCCACCAAGAAAGATTCAACATCACCTTCCGGTAAGAACACCTAATCATTGTCTTAGCTTCGAAGGGCCCTCATCTCACTGACGTGTATCTAGGGATCCATTCCAACCACCAGTCACACTGGAACTCGCGAGTCGCTATTACCGCCACATCATTCGCGACTTTTGTGCTGTCGACCGCTTTCTGAAGCCCGCATGGCCGCAAATCTGGCAGAGCCGTGAGATCTTCCACGTTACCGGACTCAAGGAGACACATCTCGTTACCGCCGGTGAGGACTTCGGAAGCGTCAAGAGGACCCTGGATGCCTATCTAGCAGCATACCGATGCCCCGCGGTCGATTGGGAAATCAACTGGAAGACCAAGTTCGCCCCCGAGTTTCGCCTACTGCCCGCCAAAGATGGGAACAGCTACTCACCACTCCAACTGCTGGCTGTCTTGCGCGCCTTGAGATACAACGACTACTTCAACTCGCTGTCGTTCCGTGATGTTGACCTGGGTGTGCTGTGGAGCGTGAGCGATCAGCATGCGAGACGGGGAAATGTTGCCTGGCTGAGCCGGACTTGTAAGTTTTGCCAGCTTGATTATGATTATCCTTAACCGTTATTGATCACTGACTTTGTTCCCATAGTGGTTGCACTGGGGACTGAGGAAATCGAGATCCTCAATATCAGCCCTGTATTGCACCAGGAGTTCCATGCGCTTGCCTTTTGCTCGGAAAACATTCGCCAGATCGACTTTACCAATGCTTCCAAGTCTTATCCCAACAAGGTCTCAACGAGCGGACAAGATACGCCCAGCCTTCAGTTCCTCACGCCCGTTCTAGAGCTGCTCAAGGCCGGCATCACACGATGCAATCGTCTGATTCTTGCCGGTAACCTGCTGCTGCAACCCGATCTCGCTGAGCTGGCTGTGGCACTGAAAGCTGCCCCTATTCAGGCACTGGATGTCTCCTATTGTGGCTTGGATGACATGAGTCTGCGAGACTTGATTATCACACCCCTTCTGGATGGACCTCGGATGGTGCAGCTCCTGGATTTGTCCGGTAACCCCGGGCGCGTGGCGTGCCAAACCGTTCCTGATCTGCTATACAGTCTTTCGGATCTGAGGGAGCTGAACCTTGCTGGTAGCCTTCGGGGAGAAATGGCTGGACCATTGCTCCCCATCGAGGCACTTGAGAATCTCCCAGGCCTGGAACTACTTGATGTTTCGAACTATGCGCTCAATCTCCCTACTTTGCGCGAGATTGAAGAGTTCCTGACATTGAGAGGTTCCAAAATTGACAACCAGGTTCCTGTGCGATTCCGCAAATTGGTATTGAACCGATGCGCCATCACCGGAACTAAAGCCGCCAGGCTATTCAACGCTATTGGCGTGAACCACGGACTTTATCTCTGTCTCAACGGCAACCCTGTCGAGGAGGGAATTGATGCTTTGTGCGATGCCATTCGTCAATCACAGACCCCGGCCGGTTTGAGCATGGAGATGATCGAGTTTCGGGAAGAAAGTCACTACCTGTCATTGATCAAAGCCCTTACAGACACCAGATATATCACCTCGTTGAGCCTTCTTGGAACTGCGCCCTCAACCCCGTCTCAAGGTACCTGCAGTCGTGAAGCCATTCGGGTATTTGAGCGTTTCTTCGCCGAAAACAGGTCGATCCGTTATCTGGACATTTCCGGCTTCAGCGGTAAACTCGACGATGGACAGCTCGCCAAGGGATTCGGTCGGTCCCTTATCGGCTTGACGCGCAACAAGACTCTGACCTACCTCAGAATCCGGAACCAGAACCTACATGAGGATGCAGGAATTTTGGGCAAGGTGATCAGTGAAAACAGACAGTTGATGTTGTTTGACTGCCAGGATAACAAATTTAACTGCACCAGCTTCCAATTTCTGGCACAGAGCATGCGGACGAACACCCGGATCATCGAGTTCCCCGTGGAGAGGAGGGAGAGGGACGCCATCTGGAAGAACACCCTACAGGGCTTGAACAGAGGTCCTTATGGTCAGATATTGACCAGCACCACGGGAACCGGTACGGTACCCACCAAGGGCAAGAAGGGGAAGAAGCACGAGAGCCACAAGTCTTTGTCGTTGAGCAAGGCGACGCAACATGCCGCGGCCAACGGCAGCAGCAACCTGAAGGATCCACTGAAGGAGCAGGAGACCATGCTTCGTACCGTGCTGTCACGACTCTTCGATGAGCTCGACGGCTATCTCAGACGGAACCGCCATGCGCTCGAGGAAGCTTCCGGACAAGCGCTCGACTTTGACGGTCTTGCTTCTGATGGCCAGGAGGAGGTCTGGCCCGGTTCGCCTGTGGTCGTGGACGTTGAGAGTCCCATTGACAACACGGGTAGAAACGCAGGAGATATGTCCCCTACCGAACAAGGAGCGGGAGGCCAAGGAGGACTGGCACCAGACACCGCGGCGATGCTCAAAGCACGTCGGGCAACTGTCCGCTCGTCCATGATTGCTTCCGGCAAATATAACATCGGAGCCTATCCCCCACCGCCCAGCCTGCCGCCACCCCCGATTCCATCCTTCTCGCTCTTCCCGGACATCAGCGAAACTACTCTCGATCCCGTCACCGAAGTTGACACACCCGTATTTGAGTTCCAGCGCGAATTGGGGCTGACCGCCGAGCCCGCCATTAACGGCAGCGGTGACGGAAACCCCATTTTCACAAACGAGATCAGCCGTAACAGCGGCATCTATGCCAACGGCACCGGCTACGGAAGCAGCGTAAACCTAAGCCACCACAGCGCCAGCAGCAGCCGTAGCGAGGACATCAGTCCTATGACGATGCCGGCCACGCCTAACCCGCCCAACACGGCGCCGCCGCCAATTCCGAGAGTTCCAGTCCCCAGCAGGAATAGCTCGTTCACGCCGCCGTCTCCGCCGACTATGGCCGGCAACAGCGGATACCTCAGCCACCACAGCGCCAGCAGCAGCCGCAGCGAGGACATTAGCCCCATGACGATGCCGGCCACGCCTAGTCCGCCCGCCACTGCGCCGCCGGCGATTCCCAGGGTTCCGATCTCTAGTAGAAATAGTTCTTTCATGCCGCCGGCGCCACCTACTATGGCTCCGCCACCACCGCCTAGGCCTGTGTCGAGTTCTACGTTGGCATCCGCATCAGCACCGGCTGTACTGGAGTCGACGGCTGCTAACAAGAGGGAAGGCATTATTGGTGTGAGTGAAGATGATTCTGCTCTTGTCAAGCTGCTCAGGGATTTTAAAGCTACTGGCTTTGCCTGATCTGTTCACATCTTCACATCCACCAACATCTACCCATGATAATCCGCGCAATCTTGCGGAACTGGATGGTTCTTAAGTTGCATAATAAGCGGATTACAATAAAGAAACACAAAAATACTGTTCCTGGTGTGGGAGTCGGACAGTCACTGTACATACCAAAAAAACACACCACCATTTCATTTTCACATACACATCATTGGCAGGGGAGTGAGCGTCGCTGAGACCCACGAGGGAAATTGCTCCGTCGAGTTTTCCTACTATATCTTTTACTACTACTACTACTACGACTACTACTGCAGTGTGTTTTTGATACCCCATACATACATACATACATACATACATACATATATATATTGTACAGGCTAAGCAGGCAGACTAATTAAGCAAGCGAGCGGGTGGATGAGCAACCTGTGGAAGGGATGGTAGAAGGGAACAAGTGGGGTTTGATTCAGCGTGGTTGGATAATAGTTCTCCTTGGGAGGAAAAGGAAGTGGGGAAAAAGAAGGCTGTATATACAGAAGACGTACGATGAAATTGGTGGCTAGGGTGCGTATGTGGAGCGTATATGGAGGATAAAGAAGGATGGAAAGAAAGAAAGAAAGAAAGGGAACTGATTGAAAAGAAAGGCATTATTGAAAAGGTCGACTGGCCGGTCGGTTGGCTAATGGGGTATGGCAAGGCATAGTCGGTGGGTCGGTTAGGACGGCATGCATTGTATGTGGTTGAGTTAAAGGTATCATATGGATTGGAAAGGGACGGAAGGAAGGTTATCTCCAGGATAGGATAGGAGTACTAGGATAAAGGATACAGGAAATGTGATGCTGGATAACATGCTCGACCACTGTTCAAGTTGTTGGTAAGGCGTCTTGTCTATGGGGTGGTTTGTGATGGTGAACTAGAACAAGGCTTGTTGATATCATCTGTTGACTGTCGCCGATAGTTCTGCTGCATATCGGTTCAAGTTTAGGACCACAACTACTGGGCCCAATTCATCAGCAGCTCATCTGAGAGACCTGATAGTTGAAGGTTATAGGGAGTATCCGAATATGTATGGACAGGTAAGGGCGTAAACATATAGATAGGGAGACGAGAGAGTACAGGTCTTGTACCTCAACCTCTCTTCACCTCTCTCTTCACTACCTCCACTCGATTCCAACAGTTCCCTTTACAGCCAACCCCCCATCCGGCGCCTCAATCCACACATCAACCCTCTCACTGCGTGCACCCAGACTCAAGCCTAAGCCCGCCTTGTCGCTACTCTTCTTCTCTCTATTCGGCAACAACCTCACACAAACCTTCATCTCCTCACCTACAAACAGCGGGCGGAGATTTTTGTACTCTATACTTGCAACCTCCCACCGCTTTCTCTTTTTTCTATCAGCTGTTTCTTCCCCCCGCGGGACAAACAACCTCTCCTTGATCACCTCGGAGACTCTAGCAGTCCCAACTGATGAGTCCGCCGCCGCCGCCGTTGTCGTCGTCGTCGTGTCAACACTTGTCCCAGCAACCCTCAAAAATCCCTCCACCCCCCTCAACATAATCACCAACGTCAATGGCCCATGCACCAACCGCTCTTTATACCCCTCCACCTCTCTCGCGTACAGCGGGTCCAAGTGGATAGCGTGCGCGTTGAACGTCAGCGCGGAGAACTGAAAGAGCAAAGTGGCGTCTGGCGTCATTTTAAACGAGAAATCGGGTTGGTGAGGGACGCGGATGATCCTCGCTGGAGCTGGGGCTGGAGCTGGTACGGGTTCGAGTTTCTGTTGGGGATGGTTTGGGTTTGGGTTTGGGCTTGGGAAAGGTTCGCTGCGCTCGTTGCCGTCGTCGGGGCGCTCACGGAGGAACACGAGGCGGCGGAGTTCAGAAATCACGGCTTCTTTGCGCTCTTTGTTGTGGGTGGTGGGGGTTGTTGATGATGATGAGTCCTTGATGACATCTGCTACCACCCTTTCGACTTCCCTCGATGTTGCCTCCGGCGGGAAAGCGATATACCGCCTCCAAACATCCACATACACTTTCTGATCCTGCTCCTTCCCGCTGTTCCCAACCTGCAAAACAGGCGTCCCTAGCGTCTCAACACAAACCGTCTTCCTCCCGTCCACTTTGAACTGTTGTTGTTGTTGTTGCTCCTCCGACCCCTCTTTGCCGAAGTCAATTCTCCCGCCCGCCCACATCCTCCTCGTAAAGGGACTTCCAGGGCAATGGTCGGCGTCTGTACCGTCGGGGAAGAGCAAGTGGGGAGGGGTTTGGAGGGGGTAGTAAATTAGATGATACCCTGGCGGTAGCTGGTCGTCTTCCTGGTTAGGCCATGGGAATATGGACTTGTTGGGGGAGGGGGGCTGAGCGTTAAAGCCCTGGGGAAGACAAATGCTCGGCAGGTGAGAAGATAAACCGAGAGAGAGCAAATGGGATTGAGTGGGATGGAGGGTGTCGGGGATGAGTTTGGGTGGGATGAGGGAGAGGGTTGTGGTGGCGGTTTGGAGGTAGGTTTCGGGGTTGAAGGTCGATGGAGGTTGGGATTGGGAGGAAAGAGGTGATGGGGGAGTGCCCTTTTCGGAGGAGTATGGTCTTATGTGACTGCCATGGTGGTTTGTTATTCTTGTTGTAGTTGTAGAAAAGCGAGTTGCCGAGAGGACATGGTGGGTGAGAAACCTCTTTGTTGTTATGGCTCTCATGGTTGTGGTTTTCGTGGTGGGGGTGAAGAGCCTCATCGTGGCATCGGGACTGACAGTTGACCAGTTCAGCAGTTAGAGGTTTTGGCAAAAAGGTGGTTCAGGTAGGACAAGATAATACTGGCTGAAAATCGTAAATTCAGGTAAGTTGTCACAGTCCCAGTGCTTCAATCTGTCCTTTCCTCCGCCGTAACTGTGCTCTGCTTCACCTCGAACAGATAATATTCATATGAAGTCCAACGTTGTCCAAGCAACGCAAAATCAGCAAGACCCCATCCGCCAAGCACCACTCATTGGTACATAGTCAGTAATTCCCCGTAACATATACTGTAACTTACACATACCGTAATGTAACCGTCCCGTCGGCTGTCCAAGTGTCGACATCGCTGCCATGTTCCGCCCCGCTTGTTCGCCCGGCCCATCCATCCATCCAAATCCATATCCATTATCCATCCCCTGGTCAACCACTAGCTTTGTGCACTTTGTGGTTTTGCCCCTGATCCCTTCCCCGAGAATGGATTCCAGCTCCGTCCGGATGCCATGGGACTTTCTAAAAAGCTTGGCCCTTTGAAGGTTTCCCACTTCCCAGAATACGTGGTCTTGGTGTTTCTCGGTAAGATCTCGACCATGATTATGATTTGGTAACCGTTGAATAAGTGAAACCAGACCGCACAATGTTTACCCCTGACCCTGTTTCCGCATATGGACGGGAGTCAGCGGGAGGACCCAAAGAAAGAAGCAAAACGTCTTGTTTTCCTTGGCATTCACTCCCGCTGCGAGGATTCGACAAAAGTTGTTGTTTGTCCTTCTTGGACTGTAACCAGTGATGTTATTGATGATGTTTTTGGTTCACTTGCCCTAAATGCCATGTATTTTCTCTAGCCTTCGTCATGTCCATGTGGTTTTTTTTCTTCTCTCCGAGACTTGGGCCTTGAACCTGTCCAGCCCGACTCCCAATCCCTAATTCTTGACTCTTTCTTGTCTTTGATTGATATGCCACTTCCTGTACCTTCGCCACCGATCCCCTCACGGTGTGATCTCTTAGAATCTATAATCGCCAAAAACACAGAACATCTAGATGACTTTGAAAATCCATATCTCCCATCGTGTCTACCCCTGACTCTTTCTTTCGCGTCTATGGGTCAGTGGAAAATGGACCGACTGACAAGTATTACGCGCTAGCACGCAAGCAGGACAAAAGCAGCACAGATTATTCGTGTGCAACGGAAGAAATGGTATGTGATGTAAAAAAAGAGGAGGCCACCAGTCAAAGTCCCGGTTCCAGTACAATGCTATACTTGAGAAAGCGAAAGAGGCCCCTCCATCCGCCCATGAAAACCTGCGGTGGTCTGGTCCGAAGAAAAGACGCACACACAATGCGGTAAGTAAAAACAAAAACGAGGGTCGAAAAGGGCAGTTAAATCAGTTACGGCGAGCCCTTAGCCCGAACTGAAAATGCATGCATGAGTGCTCCAAACTCCTATGCTGGCCAAACGCGAAACGAGGCATGATGTCATTACCTGAGATCTCTGCCGCCCACCCATCCCATCCCATCCCATCCGTCCATCCATCCAAATCATTCCCATCTTTCAGCTGCTCCTATCCTTCCTATTCTTCCTATCCTTCCCCCCATCTCTTGCCTCTCTTACCATAAGTACAAACAAACGAGAGGCTTTTTTTTAGGGGGGTGGGGGTTGTTGTGGTATGTAAGTAGGTGACTGTCGTCGCTGTGCTAGGTCAAGATGACGATCCTAGCATCGTTCGCTCGAAAATTTGAGGGTAAACGTTTCTTTTCTCATTCCTATGAGAAATGAATAGCCCTAAATCTCCATACGAAATCATGCGCGCAATCCCGCCAGACGGTGACGTGATGCCCTTGCGAGTTCCCGAGGTGGGTCTAGAACATCAACTATGGGCCCGCCTGACGGAGTGTTGTTAAAGGCCCTCCTCTCCGGCCTTGCAAAGTTTTATCTCACGACCCCATTCGGACTTGAGAACTTGTGACGCCGTGATTCTACGAGACGGATTCGGGTCCAATATCGAGTAGATGACGTTCCTGCAACGTGCCTAGATTGATGACGGTCAGTTGTGCGTCAGTGATTAACCTGAGAAAACGTAATCCAACTTACCCTGTGTAACGATTCGATCGGTTGGTAGCCCTCCTCGTCCCGACGACCTTCTAGGTACCTAGCGTAGAACTCGTCGTCGTCCTTCTTAGCTACCCTCCACAAATGGCGACCAGTCCTCATGGCCATGTAAATGACGCCGCAAGCCCACACATCGACAGCGCGAGCATCGAACTCTTTGTCGATATACTCCTCGGGTGCAATGTACGGGGCAGAACCACACAGACCGGAAACCATATGCGCGTCGTTCTCCCAAGCCATACGGAAGCATTCGCCATTGCCAAAGTCGGTGATCTTGAGGGCACCGTGGGTGGTGAGGAGGAGGTTCTCGGGCTTCAGGTCACGATGAGCAACACCCATCTCATGCATGTACTCGACACCACGCATCATTTGCTTGAAGAAGCAGTCCGCCTCCTGAACCTCGAGTTTTCCGGCGGCAAGGACAAGGGTGTAAAGATCGCCTCCAGCACAGAATTCCATCACCTCGCAAAAATCCCCCTTGGCGTCCTTAATAAGGTCAAGGGTGTGAATCACGTTGGGATGTCTGAGGGAGGAGGAGATGCAGAACTCGGCAGTCAAGCGTTTGCTATACTTCTTTTCCGTTTCCTCGGGCCTGCGGCGGAATTCCTTGACGGCAAAAAGCTTCTCTCCGAGACCATTCTCCAGTTTCTTGTGCGAGATCCTCACGATACCAAAGGCTCCACGGCCAATGATCTCCTGGCATTTGCCGTATTTTTCGACCAGAGTGGTAGGCGCAGTGCTTACGCCCTTCTTCTCTGCCGTGGCAAGACCATCCTTTTCTTGCTTGAGAGTGTCGACCCAGCTGGAAACCAAAGACAGGTCGTTTTCGGGGGCTGGCTGTTCAATCTTCCTGCCGAGGAAGCCCTTGATCATATCGGTTAGCTTCTCCTGGCGGCGACTTGACTTCAGGTGGTGCTCGTGACCGCCTTGGGCCTCGGGGATAAGGACGAAGCGTGAAGGCGGCGCATTGCCGTTCGTCTTGGCCTTGGCATCGGTGATGGACATCTTGCGCTGAGGGACAGGCTTCGAGCTCGCCGACGGCGGCGGGGATGGAGCTGTGCTGCGGTTACCCGGGGTGGTGTTTCTCGAGGTAGCTGCATCTGCTGCAGCAGCAACGCGACCGGGGTCTTTTGTCGAGAACATGCGAGTCAAGCGGTCCTTGACCGAAGCCTTTTCGGAAGGTTTTGGCAATTGCTCGGCAGAGCTGGTCGGGACGGGGTGGCCGTTCTGGGCAGCAAGATGCGGGGATCTCGAGGAAAGGTCGAAGGACTTGATGGACGACGTCTGTGAAGGTGAAGTGCGCTGCGAAGACGCAGACTTGGCGTCTGAGGTGCTGCTCGCCATGGTTGCAGATTTCCGAGGGGGACGGGTTCCGGGTCGCTCGGTGGGTGTGATTGGGGGGGGGGAGGGCCAGTGCTCTTGTGGTTGTCTGTTTTTGCGCGGGGCGGCGGCTGGTCGCTGCTTGTAACTGCTCCGACTGCCGGAACTGTAGCCGAAGAAATATAGCGTAGTACGGCGGTCAAGCGAGGTCGATGGTGGCAGTCAGTCGCTGGGCAAGCGGTGCACCAAGCGACACGGGCGAGCGCGGGATGAGGTAGGGTCGAAAGTCTTGGGTCAGGTTAACGAGTAGGTAGGTAGGCTTGGGGTTTCGTCGTCTGGGGGAGGGGGGGAGGGTCGTCCACTGCGCTTATGCAGGGAACAGCGATGGTGGCGGCTTGCGCGCCTTGAATGAGTGGGCAGAAGCCCGGACTTGGACCCTCTAGGCCTTCAAAACGGCAGGGTATTGTCGAGGCGATGAACCTCTATCTGGATTGCGAGAAGGACTCAATCTCCTTTATAAGCCGCGATAGGGCTGGCACACCTGGCGAGGCCGAAAAGTGAGAAAGAAAAAAAATTCAAGAGGCCGAATCCAGGTGAGCGGAGCGGAGAAATCGAGAGCGAGTGCCGTGCGCTCGGTGCGGGCTGCGCGCCAGTGGATGATGGGACTGTGGAGGAGCCAGTCGCAGTGCGGGCAACAACGGGTGGGTGTTGCGCAATGTGTGCCCTTGGTTTTTTTTTTTTTTTTTTTTTTTCTCCCTCTTCCACTTCAAGTTCTGGTTGTGCAGTGGTGGTGTACGGTGCCAACTCGAGTGGGCTCGCTACTGCAGAGTTAAGTACTGCGTACTGGTCCGGCGAATGACTGATTGGTGGAGATAGAGGGTGAGGTGAATGGACCCGACGGGACCTGATGGAGCCCGGCCAGGAAGTGAAGTGGACTGTAGCCTGGGTGGGTGTGCGGGCCCTGGTGCTGCGTGACAGAGTGGAGCCAGAGGCAAAGGCACGCCGCGAAAGGTACCCCAAACACGTTCCGTTGTTACGTAGCTCGCCGTGGTAGTGTAAAATAGGATTTCAAGGTTTTCAGACCTGCCTGGTTCGGATGCGTTCCGTCGTTTGTCGCCAAGCTGTGTGTGTTTCTCTTTCTCTCGTCTCTGTTCCAGTCACTGGTCGACGACGCACAAGGCTGTTGATATTGGCGCCTTGTCGGAATGGATAGGTAGGCGGTTGTTAGTACAACTCGAGAAGCGTGGCAGACCTGGACTGTTGCTGTAGTTGGCGGACGGCAATCATGGTGAAGATGTATCGATGGCTGTGAGTGTGGGATGGTTTGATCATGCGAGTCGTGTTGGCTCCGACGTCAAATAGATGGCAATTCAGTTCCTTGTTCCTGTTCCTGAGAATGCCGTCTTGAGTGGCAGAGACAATGGAAAGGAAGGTGAAAGAGGGAGAGTAAAGGGTCGGTATTTCCAGGATTGGATCGATCGCCAGAATCAAACAATGGAAGAAATCCAAACGAGAGCACGGCAGGAGGTGCCCTGGCGCTCCTGCTTGGCCACCCAGCTGCCACGGCAGACCGCAAACTGCAGACCGCAGAGAGCCTGAGGCAAAAGTGCTCGGCTGATGGTGAGGGGGGGCAAGATGGGAAGCAATGACTGAGATAACAATAGCAAATAGTAGCGGTTGAGCGAGAGAGGGACTGGACGCTTTTAAACACAAGGGGCTGATATGTCCAAAGTGTACTCAGCGGCTGGATCAATGCAGATGATCATCCTGCCAGGCTGAGTAATAGATGTTCAGACCGCACTGCTGCAGCTAAGGCGGAAAGGTGTGGCAGATGGCAGGTATCGACTTGGGGTTCGTTTGTTACTCAAGGTCGCGTATGAATGGGCGGCGTACAGTCAAGGTAGGCGAGAGGATGAATGATGACCAGCAGAATCCGGGATATGAAAAAAAGGCAGCTGAGAGAGCCAAAGTGAGGCTTGCGGCCAAGAGTCTTGTTCTATTTGTGTCTCCAAGGTCATCCACCCTCGAGACCGGCTCCTGGCTAAGATTAAGGAGAAATCGAGAGTCCGTGAGGGAAACTGACAAGAGAGCTTCTGGACTAGGTTGAGGAATGGAAGCCCGAGCGCGGTAGAAGATGGGTGGTATAGCGTGACAGAACTCAACAAAGAAAGAAGCAGAGCCGTGTAAGAGATCAAGAGAGGGCAAGGGGGGAAGGGGAGCCAGGGATGGGAGATATATACCTACCTGATCTCCAGATTGAGGATGAATACATCAGGATGGAATACATATACAAGTCTCTACTTGGCTTTACCAGAGTACTATGTAGATGTATACGGACAAACAAAGAGATACGACAGGGAAGAAGCCCCAAACAAGGCCGCCATGTCCAATCCGTTCTCGCATTCCACTCCATTCTACTTACGCTGCCCATCACGATAGCAGCAGCCAATTGTCCTGTACGAGTTAGCTAATATTATGGTGATGAAGGCGGCTAACCTTTTCACAAAACCTGCCTTGGCCCCACTGCAACAGTAGCTGTCAAGACAACCAGCTAATTTATCCATGCGAGTAGGACCCCAGGGTTTACATGTAGGTGTCTTTTTGAATGTACCAGCAGTCCTTACACTGTCAATATCAATGCAACAGCGGCCGCTCCACATGAGGAAGTTCGATCTTTTGTACATGCTTGCGTATATCAGATTTGTAGCCTCTTTTATCAGAGCGAGGTTTTAGAGTTCTGAGACTGTCACGGTGGATCTCATGGGTATCTCTTTATACGGACACTGTACGTAGTTTGTAACGGTAACATTGAAACGGTGAGATTGTACGGGTACTTACCCATCATACACTACAGGTAGCGGGGCATGAGATCGTTTGTGGAAACATATGTACCTAGGTAGTGTACCACGTACAAAAGTATGCCGGGCTCTTCAATAGTACTTGGTACCCATATGAGCGTGATTGCGCCTATGAACCTGCGAACTCTCTTCGGCCACGTTTTTGGAACGTCCTTGGAAGCTCAGCAAAAATGCTGATAATCATTCTTCTGCTCCTGCGTGTTATTAACTGTACCTCCTGTACTCTCGGTACTGTATGTACGTATCATGCAGTTTGGGACGGCGAGTGGGGCTGCTCTCCATCCCTGGTCGAAGCTCGTGCTGCCGTACTACACTACACCAAAAAGAAGACATCCTCATCTCCCGTCAACGCTCGGTTTCGTCGAGGTTCCGAGGATCAGGAAACATCCAAGGGTGAACAGCGGATGAGCACTGCTCCTTCTGAGAGTGGACTTGACTGCGGCCCTCGCCGTCACCATCATCCGCCGATATGAAACTACAACAAGTGGAAGGTACGACGATCCTTGAAAGCACTACAGGCACGATGGAGCTTACCTCTACAGCGGACAAGATTGATCACTAATTCTTCTTCTTTACTGTTTCTGTCTTGGAAACCGAACCAGCCAAGCAATCCCAAGCTCTCTCTCAGCTCCAAACCTCGACCTTCAAAGTGAACAGGATCGAAGCGGCTGGATCCTCCGGTTTAGACTGCTTGTCTTACAAATACGATGCCCTGTCTAACATGGTGACTTTCTATTTGCCCGTCACAGTAAATGATATCTTTGCCAATCCCCTTCTCATGTCTGTTCGGTGTCCGGCGGTCTGCCTTCCAATAATTTGACAGGCCTATGTTCAAAATGATGTCCGTCCAGCTTGGCAAAAGAACCATCGATACGTTACACTCCAACCCTGGCACTTTGATAGACAAATTTTCCTTAGTCTGAAGTTTGGTTCTGTGGACTTTGGTAATGCACGTCGTAGAAAAGCGCTGGAATTGTTTCCTTTTTGGGTATTCAAATTGTCTTTGGAGGCGCTTTTGCAACTCTCCCTCTACCCTAGTGTTGTTACATTCTCTAGATCGCCCATTTCTCCCCGGTTCAAACGAAGCTAGTTTCCTACAGGTTCTCCATCCTCTTTTGCGTCATCTGAATTTCTATGAGACTTTCCAAGAGTCTTGTCTTGTCTTCTGCAAGAGCCATCAGTGGACACTTGGTGGACCTGCCGTGGGACTGGTAGGCGGGCGGCCTCCCATTTCCTGTTGAGGTTGGCATCCGAGAATACTGTTGCGACTGCTACCTACTAACCTACCTACGGTTGCCCCTTCCCTTCGCCCTTCTTCAAGTCGAATGGCTGATCCCACACTTACAGTAATGGCCCCTGTTAATGCAAGCCCCCCCCTTTTGCAAGCACATGGGAACTGACCCATCAGATGCACACGATTTTTTGCGGCCCGGATTCCCAGTCTTGTATGTAAGCGAGGAATCCCTTCATGCAAACAATGCTAGGTAAGAATTCGACCTGTTCCCCATACAGCCGGAATTAGTTGCATTAACAAGGGACATTACCGTAGAAGCCGTTGTGGGCGGATGCGGGGCCGATCGAATCTCATTTCAGGCTTGTGATAATGCCCGAGCGCCAGAAGAAGAAGGCCGACGATCTGGCGGTTTCTGGCCACTTACGGAGCAAGAGGTCTTCTCGCGGCCTGCACCCGGTTTCGGTTTTGCTCTCCCGATTAGCGGGCCTCGCAGGCGTGACGAAACATCACCTCACTTCCTTTTTTCCTCCCTCCCCACCAGAGGTCATGGGTACACTACTGGTTACTAAATGCTAGTGAGTAGCTTTCGGATCCAAATGGCATCAGCGAGCCGACATATCGTGAATTGATATCGACTCGGTGAAAGAAACCCCATACCTACCTAGGTAGTCATGTTCTCCATCTCCATGGTACTTCATCTCGGGAGTTTCGTGTCAGACGTCTGTAACTGCGCGCTGGCTAGAGATAGCAAGATAGCTAAGTTACTAGCAACATAACATCACCTCCTCCTCAGTTATTATACTATGAGGCATTTTCACCTCGTCTCATTCCACATATCAAATCGTGGTCTCAACGTCCTGCGGCCTCCCTGTCACTAGGCAAGTATCCGGCTTTTGCCCCAAGCCCCTCTCCCACTACAGATACATGCCGCCTGCTATGTATGTATTACTTCCTGTCACCAATCCGTATTTTCTCCCATCAGCAGCTTCTCATAACCTCATATCTGCGCCCACTATTGGTCGCTCATCAGGCCTGTCCCTGAGCTGATGAACTGGCGCTGCAACCTGCATTGGCCTGCGGGGTTGCGCCGCTGCAGTCTCTTTCAGCAAACATTCACCATTACATATCAGCCTTCGTCAACCTACCAGCCGAGGACGATACCTTACGTGATTTATCCTCGGGGGGATATGTTATGTGGCAGCTGAGGAGCTCTACACTACACTAGGAGCTATCGCTAAAGCTTTCTGGCCTCTTCTTTGTCATTCCAGCAAAGTAAAGATGCATGTCTACAACCGAGGGATACCGCAGCAGTCATGCACCCGAGTTACACACACCAGCTTTTCCGTTCACGAACCATGTTTCCTATTCAATCAAAGAACCCCATTCCGCTTTGTGGCTTTTTCAGATACGGTATAGTGCACTCATGTACACTAGGGACTCACGGCAGGTTCTCGGCATCAGATGTATGTATGTAACCGTTTCTCGCAGGATGATACACAGTTTGCAGAGGTATAGACACAGTGAGTGAACAGGGTGCTTGAGAGCCTCCTTTTCTTCATCCTCACGACCTTTTCTCTTTTTCTCTCTTCTGACACTGCAGCAAACGAAAGGAAAAAGTGACGCCCCCGTAGCGGTGTGCCAAAGCCACCATGTACGAGAAGACCGATTATGGATTACTGCGTCAAGCCCTCTTACCTCACCTTTGAAAAGGCTGGAAAACTGCTGCCAAGGTTTTGAATCACGTACCAAGACTTCTTGGTTGCCAGGTAGCCGGACCGCAGGATTGGGTTGTTTGGGTTGGGTACTCAGCCAGAGCCGCATCTTTCACCAAGATGGGTAGAAGGTAGAACACCCATCATGACGCCTTTGCCTAGGTATGCTCGAAACTCTTGGAGCATCTGGAAGTGCATACCTCCCATTTGGCCCCTTTGGTGTTCGCCAAATCCGCCGCCGTCCTTAGGGTAGGTACTCATGGAATGCAAGTCATCGGATTGATTCCTGGAACCCTTCGGGAGGTTGATAAGGTAGGTGATCTCATCACGTACGTAGTCCCATCCACGCTGACAGGTGTCACAAGTCACAACCTGGACAGACAAAACAGTCCATTGCCTATCAGCGCCTGTGCCGCATGTCTCAACGCTAGGTAGGGTATGTGGAGAGTGTCTTGCAAGGCTCGACATCGTCTCAGCTCACGCAACATGCATCCCTATGTATATCTCTAGTGTAGCAGAGAGCTACCGCGAAGACCGCCTTGATCGACATGAGCGTAGGGCCCAGAAAATTTCTTGGTGGTACCGTGCTCGCGACAGATTTTCGACGATCTTGACGATCAAACACACTCAGGCAGTGTGAGCAACACATGTGCTGGGAACGATAGACAAACGTTGGGTGTAGAAGATGGTGGGGTAAGGAGGGGGGAAAAGAAAACGACAAAACAGGTAGGGGGGGGGGGGGGGGCACTGAGTCCTCTACCACAATATCTACCATAGTGTAGGTATGTGATGCTCGTGGAGGGGAAGACCCCTTGCTTGTCATTTCGGAATTGAGACGCTAAACTGCCATTCGGTTCGGGGCATGACTTTGACAGTACCGGTGGTACCGGCAATACCACCAAGCCTTCTGCTGCCGCTGCTCTTCTTCCCTTGTCAAAACGAAACACTTCCACACGTGGCGGTGATACGCACATGTTCTGGTCATCATTTATACTACTTTGGTCGATAACGCACAAGGGCACAAATTGAAATACCGATATGTTCCGTACGGGTCATGTTTATGCGTATGAAGGGGGCACGGCAACAGACGCCAGGTAGGTTGCCGTCCTTGGCAGTCTTCCGATGACACCCATCTATGTACACTGGATCTGCACTAGCACTAGGTAAGCACAGTCAGTATATTACCCTCGCCATTTTCTCGGGTGTTCAAGGATTGGTGTTGATTATTTGTTGAACATGACAACTTGGGAACATAGGACTGGTGTCATCGACAGCAACGCTGACATCGCCTAGCTTATTGTGTGAACTGGGCTACTACACTACACTGCCACCTTAGACGCTGTCGAATCTTTCCATCCGTATTTCATATCTTCTTGAACCCTTTCAGCGAACCCTCATAAGCCGTCTCATCTATCCCAGCTCCCGATTCATACCTATTTTACCCCGACCGTCCATCCGATATGTAACCGCAACCCAAGACTTCCAAGATTTGCAGCCACCGACTTGGCAAAAGCTTGTATTGCTCATGAAACTCCTGCTGTGTATTTCCAAGCCTTTTGCCAAGTTGAATGGACCCTTTCTTGTTGAGGCCTCCAACGGCTTCCCAACCCTGTTGTCTCGAGACCTTTTTTTTTTTTTTTCTTGTCCTCCGTCATTATCGGAACACTTTCGATCCTTTTGATTTTTTTTATCTTTGAACAACGTGAGGAAATGGAGATCCCATGTGTCACGGCAGTGCAGTACAGCCGTCTTGGTAGTCTGAGCATTCATTCTGGTTACGTCAATGGTGTAGGTTGCGATACTCAACCCAAGTACATCTGCGGATGTGCCGCGCAGGTTTTATCCACGACTTCGGGCCTTGTGAATCATTTATTTGGGCTCTGTCCCAACTGCGGCCTTGGAAGCTCGCAAACGGTGCACTCACCTGCCTACATGTATGGGCGCACTAAACCGCAGAGTCCTGTTGTGAGAAAATCCAACACCCCCCTCGGCGCAAACGATTCAATGTCTGGTTGACCTTCATCTTCATGGTCTCTCTCTCCCGCTTTGCTATCATCAACGTAAACCACACAGAACAGTCCGACCTTTGCTAACAATAATACAACCACCCGCTCGTTTTTTTGCCTGTGAACGGTGATACAACCCCTCTCTATCACCGAGCAGACTGAACGATGTCAATCACACGCCCATTCCGCGAGAATAAATAGCAAAGTTCCTATGCTTATAAAATGAATGCAAGCACAAGTGATGTTGGGGTCCATTGCCTTCAATGTATGCACGCATGTTCACATTCCACATGGGAAACGCCATGCGCATACATAACGCAACCGATCACGCGAGTGTGCATTAGCCACTCCTGGGATCTTCTTTGGAATCGGAGACCTATTGCTGGGATAAGGAGAAGCTTAGCACACGGTCATAAAGCGTTCCGGCGTAGTATAGTACCTCTATCATGGTTGGCAGGCTCGGCAGAGTCCTTTGGGGAAGGAACCTCCCCAATAGGTAGATGTGCCATGTACATGGGAAGCAGCGGTGAGGAAAAGGATAGGATGGGGTGTGTCGCTTCATGCCGTTATTACCCTCCTTGCCTTGCGGATGGTTACCTCGAGGTATTACCAGCCTCAACTTTAAAGGCCATCCTAACGTCCATTAGGGCTTTTCATTGTCATCGAGTCTCTCGACCTCGCACAAGGCGTGGTTTACTGCGTTAAGATATATCTTATACCCTCTCGAAAGAAGAAATGACAACACTTTGACGCCCAGCTGTTCAAGCAGTTTTGAACTCGGACTTGATAGACTACACAGCTATGGGTTCCGTATCTCAACCCTTACCTAATTCTTTCCTTCAACACTACCTAATTTCTTATGCACGTCCAACTGTTTTGGAGGTAGTTATGCGTACCAACACCGTCGAGTTTAACAAGACGGGTGTAACGATCAATAAAACAGTGAGCGAACTATCGAAGAAAGACTTATCAAATGGCAAGGACCGCGCAAAAAAATCGGCATCATTAACACGACTTGAGGTCAAGTGACTGACTGAATGATTGGTGGGAATATGGTTAATGTTTCGGGTGCGCCAACCGAGAGAGATTGAACGAGCAGTTGAGGAGGGGGGGGTTAGAGCGAGGGGCAAGTACCTAACTCCTGCACCCAAAAGATAGGTGCGTTACACGAGCGAACACCCAGTCGGCAGAATATTCGGTAATATCGATGTGTGCACAGAGATGGAACTTTGTGAGATATCAAGAAGGAGGGAAGCAGTAACCTCAAAGTCGTGCGGGGAACATGGGAAACTGAAAAGGGGATGGATGGAGTAAATGGACTTGGACTTGAACTCTCGCTTGTCCTCACTTGTCCTACGCACTGCATTGAGGTAACTACATATGGTAGGCATTCACTTCGCGCCAGTGAATCCATCAAGCGCCACTACCATCCACCAGCTTTCATTCCCATCATTTCAACTGGCCTGGCCTGGAGGTAGGCGATCTATCAAATTCGGTTTCAGTAGGGTTACTCAATGCGGAGGCTTGCCGAGCTTATACATGTTCGATTAGAGACTTTGGTACCTGGTCAGGTAGGGCAGCTTTGTCTGGACGTATATAGCACTTTTAGCGTACCTTTATCCATGAAGGACACTCATGACATATATATATATATATATATATATATATTTCCCAAGAAACCTCAATGTCGAACATACTCGTGTCTGGAGATGTTCCATTGAGTTAATACAAGGAGAAGTGAAGAGAGAATCAAAGAGAATTGAGGTTTAAGAGATGGGATTAATGAAAATGACTCAGATCTCCTATTCAGATATTGCAAAATAGGACTAGGTGTATACTCACACTTTCGTTGACTCCAAAAGAGCAACATTTGGTGACGTGTTTTTAATAGCCCAAAGGTAGAAATACCTACATAGCCAATTCTAAACAAAACCGCCCAGGTACTAGATGATCTGCGGACTTGAGGTCCATTATACCAAAATAGGAATCATTCCGCTGCCCCATCACAGCGAGGCCTCCATAGAACAATTCATTGCTCACACACGCAGTTTCCCATGTTGCCTCACCTTCAACTATTGTCCACCACCCTCCCCGTCCTTCCCTTCTCCCTCCAGCTCAACACCCCCAACCGCCACCTCCTTCGCCCCTTCCATAGCTCTAGCTACCACATCCGCAAATCCACTTGTCCGCTCCTTTCCCGCCTCCCCTGGTCCTTCCCCTCGCGGCTGCCACAATCTCCTCGGCGAATCCCCAGCCCCCTCCACGTTATCATCCCCCTTCCCCGTCCCAGACCACAACCTCTGCCCCTGCTCCCCCACCTCTTCTTGGCCATCACTCCCCAAAATAGCAGTATCATGCTTCTTCTTATTCAACCGCGTGTGATAAAACGTTGTTCCCGTGCCTGTGCCCGTCTCTCTTCGTTCATTAGCCTTACTATTCCTACAACGGCCGCCAATAGAACCAATGCTAGCGGACCGCTTGATTCGCTCAATCTCGGCTTCAAAGGCGTTATCGTAGATGTTGAAGTCGACCATGGTGGGCGACTCGGAGACGTGGTCGGCGGGCGGGAGGTCGGAGGGGTTGATGGCGAAGCTTGTGTCGTCGCCGCCTACGCCGATGCCGAGATGGGGCGGTGGTTGGGGTTGCTGGTTTTGTTGCTGTTGAGCTTGCTGCTGCTGCTCTTGTTGTTGTTGTTCGGAAGTCTCTAGACCCGCTGAGATGGTCGTGGTGTCGGTCAAAGTAATGGTGGAAGAGGATGAGGTGGCGGTGGTGGTGGACGACGGTTGTGTAGAAGAAGGAGAAGGGTTTCCGGTGGCGAGGGGATGGAGAGGACCGCTGAGGTTGTACTGCCCGCGTAAGGCTCGGTCGTTGCCAAAGGTGCGGGAACCGGTGGGATTGAAGAATCGACGGCGCTCTTCAAGGATACGACTGGCGAACTCGGCTGTGGATTCCTCATTTTGAGGGTCCTTGAAGTTGGTGTTGGAAAAGTTGATGTCTGCTGTTTGTGGCTCGTTTTTGCCAGGGTGGACTTCGAGGGTTTGGGTTTGAAATTTGGGCGTGGCTCCGTTGCGGTTGAGGAGGCTCTTAAATTTCGAGATTGCTCTCATCTGGACTTTGTTAGAGATGAGTGATACGTAAGTAGTAAGATTTCACTTACCACACAGAACAGGTGGCTCATTCTCCGGGTAACGGCATGGTTGACTTCGAGAGCATTGGGTACTTCGATTGGCTCAGAGCAATTCTCTTCTTCGCTCAGCAACGGGTCTTGGCCGTTCTTGGTGACCCAAGGGTGCTCCTGATGATTTTGTCAGTTAGCTGTACCTGATGCTTCGGTTAACGAGGTCACCCACCCTGAGCTCATGCATGGTAATCCTTTTAGCCGGGTCCTTCTCCAGGATCTTATGCATCAAGTCAAGAAACTCGGGTTTCTCGTCAGGTGGAAACTGAGGCTCCTCGGTCTTGATTGCTTCCCACATGTCGAGCTGGTTATCGTGGGCGAAGGGAAGCTTGCCGTAACGCAGACAATAGAGGGTAACACCCATGGACCAGATATCGGCTGCCCTGCCCGAGACATCACCATGCTTTGCGCACAACTCAGGGGGCAAGAAAGCTGGTGAGCCTGCAGGCTTGGCGGTCTTCATTTCATCTGTCTTTTGGAAGATTTCGGAGACTCCAAAGTCGACGATCTTGAGGACATCGTCTTCAGTAAGGAGCAGGTTGTCCGGCTTGATATCGCGGTGGATCACTCCTTGCGAGTGTACTATTGACATGAATGTAAGCCAAGGCGTTATGGTGACAAGATACTAGACAGAGGACTTACGATACTCTATGCCCAAAATGAGATCACGAAACCAAAACCGGCATTGTTCCTCGGGCAAAGGCTCAACCGAACCATGAATGCCCATCTTCATGACCACGCCCTTTTTGCACATTTCCAGAACCATGTAGAGTGAATCATCCTCGGGATCGTCCAACACCTCATACAGCTGGACCAGGTTGGGATGATTCAGCTTCTTCATGATGGCGATCTCCTCCCGAATGAGAAAGAGGGCATCCTTGGCCTCAAGAAGCCTCTGCTCTGAAAAGCGAGAGATGGACTGGTTCCGCGGGCCTCTTGGTGCATGGCGTAGGATGTTGGACTGAGCGCGCCTTCTGAGCTGAGCCTTGGAGAACTGCTTGATGGCATACTCCTTGCCGAACTGGTCGGTGGCCAGACGTACGGCGCCGTAAGAGCCATGGCCTATCTCGTCCTTGATCAGATACTGGTTGATGCGTTGGCGGGAACAGCCGTCGACATCGTCGTCCAGATACTCGGATCTCGCGTTGAGGGTTTCCTTGACTTCTCTGTGGAAGGACGGGGTTCTCTTGTGATGTCTCAGGGGACTCGGATATTGTTGCATTTGGGGAGGGGCCGAATGAGTGTGAGGAGGCGTTGCCGGTCTCGGCCTGCCATGGTCGGTAGGGTCGCCATGGAACTGGACTGAGATGCCCGGTGAGAGCAGAGGGAGAGATGTGGTCTGTTGGTGCTCTGGTTCAAGATGGACGGCCATTGTGCTTTGGGCGCCGGAAAGGCGTGGGCGGAGTGGTAGCGAGAAGGTTGTTGTTGTTGTAGGGCAGTGAGGATCAGGGGTTCCGGGAGAGTGTTGAGGTTGTTGACTAGACATTTCCGTCTTGACTGAACAGATAGCTCTCCACACGAGATGTAAATGCAGGTGTACTCTAGTACGTATCAAAGGTCAGCTATGACGGATGGTTCGACAGATGTTGAGCGGGAAGAGCCGTGAACAGTGGCTTTTTTTGGTGGTGCTTTGGCGCTGATGGGAGCTATGTAACAGCTACCTAGCTAGTTGGTTAGTGCGGGGGTTCTCTCGGAAACGAGGCAAGTTCAGAGATGACGATGTTATGTTGCAATTCTCGCCTAGGCTCCAGGTCTAATGAGGCTCGGCTGTCCCTGTACCTCTAGGCGAGAGTAGCAGGATTTGGACTTTCCTTGGCCTCGGCAATATGATAAACTCGTCACGTTTCAGTTTCTTTCAGCGATGGGTTGGTGGATGGATGGGGAGGCCTCATCCGGCCAGGAACGCCCACGGCTCACACAAAGGCGGAACCGTCACAACCTAACCTACCCAAAAGTGGGCAAAGGGAGACCCCTGAAAGTCGACTGGTTGAGTCCCATCCCATCATCGGGCCCGTCAGGTTTCCCCAGAGAGTGGCCAGATACCTACACCTAGATCATCAAGATCTATGTGTACCTCTATTGTAATCTTTGCCCCTCCATCGGGCATGATGTCAACTAGTCAAAACAACCCAAAGTAAACATTTCACATGGCTTCGCTGCGGCAACTGTAAATCTACAGCACTTCTACTTTCTGACTTCCTCTTCACCTGCCATGGAAGCTGTTGGCCTCCGCTGTCATGGATGAACTTCCATTGGATTTGTGATAAGCCTGGGCTTGCGGCGAATGGCCAAGAACATGATATCTGTATAGGTACCTTACTATTTGGGAGTTGGGACGAATTAGGTATACAGCTTGGGTGTGTGCTGACATTTCCACTGTTGGTCTAGCGCAGCCGTAGCGCACCCGCACCCCACATGCCGCCGTGGCAGCTGGAGCAGCATAGACGCCCGGGCGAACGACTCCCGCTGCCGACACTGACCGATTGCCCGACAACCACCATTCTCAACGGACGGACACCGGGGGCAGGGCAGGGCAGGGATCCCCTCCGCATTCAATCATCATCGCAACTGTCGCAATCGCAACCAACCGTCGTCCGAGCATAGCTGAGGTCTTGTCCCAACATCAGCTCTTCCCGACCCTCGCTTCACCAGGCCGTCTACGCAGCGCTTTCACCTTGTCTTCTCGCTTGACATCGATCCGCCGTTCCCGCCCTGTGCGCTGCGCAATACCAATTGCCCTTCCCCCTCCAAATCTACAAAGCGAAGCTATAGGCGCCCCGACTTGAAGCTACAACGCCAACCATGGTCATCTACTCCTTTTACATCTTCGATCGGCATAGTAAGCCCGCCCACCCACCCCCTTATCTCCCCCCAATTGATCTTCTACTTACCCAACCAACAGCGGAATGCATCTACTCCAAGACCTGGCTCCCACCCCCTCCTGCCCCGGGGGCACAACAACAGCATGATATTTCGACAAGCACTACCGGCGCCGCTGTGGCCTCCTCCGACCCTCACCATCATAATCCCAACACGCTACGCAGCACACGCTCGGCGGTCAGCGCAGCCAACAAAGCCTCGGACGATGCCAAGCTGATCTTCGGCACCGTGTTCTCTCTGCGCAACATGGTGCGCAAGCTGGGCGGCGAAGACGACGCCTTCATCAGTTATAGGACAGCCCAGTACAAGCTGCACTACTACGAGACGGCGAGCAACCTACGCTTTGTCATGCTGACGGACACGGGGACGCTGAGCATGCGGAACGTGATGCATCAGATATACATCAATTTGTGGTGTGAATATGGTGAGTCTGTCTGGCTGATGCTCTCTCTCTCTCTCTCTTCCTGAAGGGAATAGGATTAGGGGCTAATAATAAACCACGAAAAAACAGTGGTCAAAAACCCTCTCGCACCCGTCGAACACAAAGGCGGCGCCGGCGTTAGGAACGAGCTATTCGAGCTGGGCCTAAATCAGTTTATCACTGGTTTAATGTGAGACCTCTTCATCCAGCCCTTGATTGAGATTTACAGTACAGCACATGAGCACAAACACCCGAATCGGCCCGGGCCTCGCATTTGGGCTTCTTCCAGCGACACTCCATCCACCGTCGTGAGCCCACCCAACCCCATCAACATACTCGCTCAGTTTTCTGCTCCCCTGGCAGACACAAAAAAGCTGATGAAAGAGTTCGACACATAGCGGTCAAGCCGGCGGCCAGCGATAACGGAGCAAAGGCAATGCAATGTGGCTCCCCCGGGACAAGACCTTGGTTAAAGTCTGGCTTATGGCCTCTTGCGAAAAGATGAAAAAGAGCCCGAGCCCAAACCATGGTCGATTCGCGAGCGAGAGCCTGGACCCACTAAAACGGAATGAGTAGAGAGGGTTTTTGCGTCCAGTTTTCATGCAGACACAAGAGGACCAATTCATGGACCTGGTCGCTTGCGGAACTGGCCTCGCCATGAGACCAGATGAAGAGGAGGAACGTATGCATATAAAGACGTGATGACCCGTCGAGAGCACCGGCGAGGGATGGCCGTGATAGACATGGCGAAACAAGCATACCACATACTCGTTGTAATATGAGAACGAACATAGCGATACCAACAAATTAATGCCACATTGACAAATTGCTTCTCAGCCAATATCAACCCTCGGGACGCTGTGTTTCCTCTTTATTTCATCTAATACGTGTAATGATATCTTGGTAGTAGTAGTAATAGTATAACATGAACTCCCCATTATCTAGCCCCACCATCCTACTCCTCTCCTTTCCCTCTGCACTATACGCCGCTACCCATCATACAAGAAAACCCACCCTTCATCATCCGTCCTATCCTTCCATCCAATGCATAATGAACCTTTCACACATAAACAATTACACTGGGCCAATATTTATCTCCTATCCTCAAAAGACGGGCCCCTCGACCCCGCCTGCGACGCGCTCATGGCCCTCTCCCATGCACTATCAAACCCAGCCGTCGGATCAGGACTAGGATCCACAACCACCAGGCTCTCTTCCACAGCCGTCGACCCCGAACCACCTAGTGGCTGTGACTCCACCAATACCCCTGACTCTTCCACTGTTACTGCTGCTGCTGCTGCTGTCCTTTCTCTCCTACTTCCCCTACTAGGAGCAGCAGCTGCTGCTGGTGGAGGAGGAACAGCAGGTGCCGGACCACCCGCATACTCCTCACTAGCAATCTCGGCCTGCCAATTACTGCTGTACACCACCGCCGCAAACCCTTCCAAGTCCCGAACCCCTTCCATGGCCTGGAGGTACTCGTTGGGCATGCCGTTGCCGATGGCGTGGGCCTGGCGCGTGAGGATGGAGAGGATCTTGGGAAGCAAGACGGCGCGGGTGACGGGGCGTTCAATGTCGATACTTTGGCGCGCGTTGTGGAGATCGGACGAAGTGGCAACGAGGGTCGTGGATGTGACCACGTCGTCTGCGCCGCTGGCGCCGCCGGCTTCGGGAGTCAGTGTGACGGCGGGCGGGACGGCGGCGGGAGGGGCGTGCGCTTCAAAGGCGCCGACGGTGAGTTTGCGGTCAAGAAGGACGGCGAAGCCTTCGTCGAGAAGCTGAGTGAGCACGGAGGAGAAGGCGGGGGACTCGATCAGGTCGGCGGTCTCGTCCAGGAGGCGGCGGAGGGAGATGGTGGACTCGCCGCCGCCCTCCCCGGGGGTGGCGCTGGGCGGCGACGAGAGTTGTTGTGAGTCGTCTTCTAGCAGGATGCCGGATTCGCGGAGGACAAAGTCTTCCATGTTTTGTGGTGGGAGGAGGAAGGGGAGCCATTGCGTGGTTGCTGCTGCTGCGCCGCCTCCCTGACCGGCAGGAGAGCCTTCGATAATGGTGCGCACCTCACGAGTGAGCTTGGAGAAGGCGTCGAAGGTGATGGTGTCGCGAGGCGAGAGAGGACCAAAGACTTGTCGGACGGCGGACTCGACCCGCTGCATGACGTCTACCCAGCCCCGGTTGAGAAGCCACCAGGAGAAGGTGAGGTACTTGCGGTTGACTTCGAAATCGGAGCCGTAGGCCTGGCCTTCCCCGTCGAGATCGCCGTCGTCATCATTGTTCTCGAGCGCGATGGCGCCCTCGCGCGTGGAGCCGGTGGCGAGGGAGACGACGGAGGAGAGGTAGCTGCGACGGCCGAGGAGGTTGAGCTGGATCCGTGTGAGCATGGTCAGTAGACCGAGAGTGTAAATCAAAGTGAAGGAACGGGTAATTGCTGTTCGATGGTGTGTGTTAGTTTGGGTCAAGTGGGAAATATGGAGGACGACCAGCGTGCTCACAGCTAATCTTGAGGTCATCCCAGAGCTGTCTCTTAGTCTTTCGCGACTTCTTGGGCGCCTCTGGTTGGGGAACATCGCCGCCGGCCGACTCGCCCTCTGCGACAGATGGTAGAGGCCCTGGGGCCAGGAAGCTGGGATATGCGCCACCGTCGCTCTGCACACTGAATCCGCTGATCATACTACGGCCATCGTCGTCCATGGTGCCGACCTCGGATATGGTTGGGGCGAGGGAGCTGATGCTCTTCTTCCTGTTGGCTGGGCTCTTCATCTGCTGGATCTCGTATGTGATTCTTTCGGTATTGAGGGCCTCGAGGATGTTGGTGGTCGCGGTAGGTAGGAGGGCGAGGACGGTAAAGGTGCAGTCCTCCTGGTTCTGTTCGAAGCGGCGTCGCAAACTGTCGATAGGGGGTTCAGGGGTTAGCCGGCGACGTCAAGGACATTCTGTCTGTCTGGGTCTTTTGGTGACTGGGCGCACTTCTCCTTGGCTATGCGATCGCTGCTCATGCGCTCGCGCGCATTGTTGAGCTTGGTCAGGACATATTGGGTCGCGACGTAGCCGGCGCCGACAACACCAGCACCGATGGCCAAGGGCGTGCGATTGCGCTTGAACCACTGCCGCGTCGAGGCGAACATGGCGGCGCTTGGAGTTTAGCTCAGTTAGTTGTGCCCCGTCTTATTCAAAGGTCGTTTATCAATGGGGCATATGTAATCGGCCGGTATCGTATCGTAGGTATGCAATGCGCTGGTTGTCGAAGGGTATCTCGAGGTTTCGAAGTTTGCGTCTCCAACGGTGAAGAGCCCGCCCCCAGCTTCCGCTATGGAGATTCGGGACGGGAGTCCAGGTCGCGCCCCTGTAGGTACTGTAAATCCATCAAGCGGATACCCCCCCGTAGCGTAATAACCTCGGCTCGTCATCACACCCGACTGATAGGGCTGATCGATCTTTACGAGGACCCTAACCCTGTCAGCCGACCACAGTGCCGTGCCTGTGTGTAGGTTGCGTTTTGTTACCATCTGTAACATATCGATGTAAATTACGACTTGGTCCAGCTTCGGTCGAGCTCCGACAGGGGTAAAAAAAGAAAAACCAAAAAGGATTCACCAAATCAATCGGGCATTTGTAACGACGATGTGTATTGTCGAATTCCCATCATCTTTTTCTAAACACTGTAAACGCGCAACTCTAAGAACAGAGACTCGACGCTTCTCGAACACTCCAATGGCTGATAGGGCTGGCCATACTTACCTAGTTGCCTTTAGTCGATGAAAAGGGGTCAAATCTGCTGATGTCATTTTCTCTTTCTCAAAAGAGCAATCCCAGTCTTCAACCCCCAACCAAATCCGGGGTTGTGGGGCTTCAGTTTTTGCAGACAGCGTTGGGCTCCGGCGACCCCCGGGGTCCCGCAGGTCCCGCAGCCAGGAAGTGACAGGGGGAAGTTGGAACAACGTCACACCATCATCCGCCAAAAACCGCCCTTGTCCTTAACGAAACCTCTTTGACCGCCCAGCAGCCGCCCCCGAAGCCGCGCCAGGGAACTAGGGAGATAGATCTCTGCAGACCTTGCAGAGTGCAGAGAACTGCTGCCGTGGTGACTCTGCGTTTGCCCCTCGATTTGTTCCATCAAATTGCATTTTGTATTTTCCTGCCGTACTTGTTGTACCTTGATCCGAAAATCCATTACCCCTCCACCATCCCATCCTGCCGCCGCTTATCGCTTGTCGCCGACGGTCGCCTGCCGTGATCGCATGACCTAAAGAAACCGGGAAAGGGAAAGAAGACCTGAACGACGGGAAGCGCCGGGCTTCTCTCCGCAAAAACCTCAGCCCGCCGCGCAAAACAAAATAGGAACCGCCGTCATCCCAGCACCCCAGCGATAATTTCCAATCTGTAACATACCGATACCGCAACCATGGAGAAAGTCGCGCCCGAGTTCACTCTCGAAGCCTTTGCCGATCCCGCCTCCGTGCGCGACGTCGTTCGCGGCATCCTCCACACCATCTTCTTCCTGCGCTACTTCGTCTCCCACGAACCCAAGACGCGCGACGTGTGCGGCCTCGAACTGGCCTACATTCCCGACGCCGAGATCGAGACGCTCATTGACCAGCGGGTCGCCACGCTCGTGCGCCAGCTCGAGGTTGACCGCAACCAGTCCTCGTCACAACATCCTTATGGCGCCGGTGGCCCCGGCTATAGCGGAGGCGGTGGAGGTCGCGGGCAGATAACAGTGCAGTTCTTTGAGAAGAAGCGCAGGAAGACGTGGTACGGTATGGGGAGGGGCGACGACGAGGTATGTTGGGAGAACTGGACGGTCAAGGTGACGGTCGCTGAGCCGAGGACGGAGTCAGGTATGTTATTTTATCCCGGTATTCTTACAGATTGAAACTGCGACAGCTAACCCTTGCGTTTTGCCTGGTCAAAAAGAACGACATAAAGTTCGCAACGCAATGGAATCCACCCTCCAATCAACCGTTTTCAAATGCATCACCATCGCAAACACCCACAAGGACCACATCCCGCCCATCACCACTAACGATTCCAATCCCTTCACCTACCAGATCAACGTCAACCCACACCACGGCCTCCACGTCACCTCCCAGCAACACCTTCAGAGCGCCAGCAAGGAAGCAGCCGCACGAAGCGATTTTGGAAGCTCAGGAAACGGTGGCAGTAGCGGAACTGGCGGAAGCGGACGAGGGGCAGGGAGAGGAGGAGCAGGCGGGCTAGCAGGTGCCGCGGGCGGTGCGGCAGCGGCGGTTGTTGGCTCGTGGGCCACCAGGATGGGTATTTACTAGAAGGACAGTCCCCCCTGGCTCCTCAACTCTGTAGGGAGTGTGATCGTGAACGTGGGCCTTTCGGTGCGCGATGCTGCTGTGAGGCTGGATGAGGCGTGCGGCAGGACGCTTGATAGGTGGGACAGAGAGTTCCAGTATGTCCTCGATAAGGAAGAGGAAGCGAATCCGGGAAGCAGAAGATAAAGGCGGAGCAGGAGGCGATGAGACAGAGTAGGATGAGAAGCGTCGATAAACTAGGTGAAGAGGCGGGAATCATCATTCTTGGTGAAAAAGGGACAGACAGGCCTGCGGTTGAGAAGAGACGTTGAACGCGATGAGGGGGTTTGAGGTGGAATGAGCGAGTTTTTTTTTTTTTTTTTTTCAGGCTTGAACGGGACCACACACAACAGGGCGGCATTCTTGACGCTTATCTTCCCTCCTGATTTCTGATGCCATTCAACATCGGGTTTCCGCTACACTATAATCATTCAAGGCTTGCAGCAGTTTTGGGAGGGGGAAATTGGAGTGTCTAACCCTCCAAGGAGCGAGGAAAGATGTTTATTATGATCTCATCGATAACAAGCATGGATAAAGGGCGTTATGGGATCACAGGATATGGGGACGGGACGGAGAAGGTTAAACGGGACTTACAACAGGGGACCAAACGAACCGGGTTAGTCATAGATATGTTTCATCGATTTACGTATTTTGAGGGGGGGGGGGGTAATAGCATAAACGCCTGGACGAAGGAAATTATTACTATTATTCATCACAAAAAAACCGATCCCTTTTTTGGCATTTGATAGTCTTTTCTGTTGTTGCTGATAATCAGCATAGAAATCAACCGCGCTACCCATATTGGCTAGAGAGATCTTTTGGATTCATTGGGACAACTAATATACAGGACTATCGATCATCTTGATACACACTCCAATGATCACAGTACGGCTCAGTGTTTACGAAGCTGCGTGGGAGTTGAGTGAGGAGTAGGAAAGCCTGCAGAAATTCGGAATTAGTTACTTTGCTGAACTTCAGAAATAAATACGCCGGCTTCTCAGCTTTCTCAAATATTCCCCCCTCTTGGAAGAAGAGGGGCGCTAAGATTTACTACCGGGGAACCACAAAACCTTCTTCCGCTCTGCAACTACCTAAGTACATGCATCTTCCATCTGTCAATCCATTATTACATGTATCTGCACCTGCATCTATACCGACTCCAGCACTAATATTCTTTTCCTAACACAGCTGGCTTACTGTAAGGAACAAATTATTTAACCCCCCGAGGCGTATTCAATTCAACAACATGAGGGCGACATGGGACGAGGCGGCAAGTACACTGTTTTGTTTATAACCAGGTGGTTGTGAGGTTTATAGAAGCAGAGTACTCGTAAAGGCTGTAACAAGAGAACACACAAAGGACAAGGCGCTGTAGTAACTCATGTCTGTTTGTTTGTTTGTTTGTTTCAGTCATACTGAGCTACTACGGGCACCGTACATTGAACCCCAGAATGAAAACAAAAGAAGATGGGGAAATCAGAATATGTGCCAATGTCCTGCGTCGCCGATACCTCATGACGACGTTGATATCCGACCGAACACCCCAGGAGGAAAAGAATAAAACAGACAAAAACCTAACACAATCAACTAACCCATGCCGTATCGCTCTTGCTATGCACATGAACCTACCCATCAGCCGACCGGATTCAAAACTATCCCTTTCCTGAACCGGTGAAAAACAAGCAAGGATCTCTGTATCCATTTCCCGATCCATTGAAATACCAAAACCATACCCATCGTTGCCATCCATACCGCGGCAGGAGAAATCCGAAACAGCGGTTGAAGAACACATCAGACTCCTTCATGCTGTTAACCTGTTATCCGACTTCTCATTCTCAGACCCGGTCAAAGAGACCATAACCCAACCCATCCCAAGCTGGCCGTAAGAGCAAATAGACCGACCTAACGAAAAAGGAAACAGAAGAAACGCTGTGTCAAATGACCTTGGGCCAAGAAACCGGTATGTCACCGGAGTAAAAGAAAAACAGAAAAAGCAGCAACATCAACAGAAACCTAGCACCAATGGCCTTGAGGGAAGGCAGACCATCCAATTGTCTCTTTGCAGGGTCCTGGCTTTTTTGAGTTGATGGAAAGTTCAAAAGGCAAGATAAAAGGGAGGATAGCAAGGACAAGAGTCTCTTTTGTGAATCGAAAGTAAACGCCGTTGATGCAATTTTTCTTCGTGACCACCATATTTGACGGCGACAAGGGGTTATTCGTTATCATGAGGTAAATGTAATAGAGCTTAATGGTCGTGATGCCTTAAGATCGTATGTCATAAGAGGTATGCGACGCAGTCAGGTTCACAGTGTTGTAGTAATCGTCATAATGCGTTCAAAGCCAAATTCGAGGCTATACAAAGCGATTATCCAGCAAAAGAACACACGAGAATAGGCGGGTTAGAAGATATTGCTGTAGCAGCGACTATATGACTGCCTCGGAGGAAGGCCTGCTATCGTAGGGGCGTTGTTAGTGGGCCGCGAAGTATTAGCAGGAGTCGAGCCAATCTTTTCGAACCCGGCAAGCATGTCGATTCCGGAAAAGTCGCTATCTTCTAGGAAGTCGGAGCCGCAAAGATCATTCATTGTCATCCACGGTTCCAGGTTCTCAAGGTTATCGTTGCTCGCGGAGCTGATCTTGCACGGAGACTCCAGAAATACCTTACTCGGTGAAGAGGGCAGCCCCTCAAACACTTTGCTCGGCGTCCCAGTGTTCAAGTCAACTGGCTGAGAAGGCACTTTGAGGAAAGAAGCCGCGTCATTACCATTGCCGCGAGAGAAGCTTGTCATGTCGGTAAGCGCACCGGTCGATTGCGACCTTTCAGGCCGGTGCCGTCTTGCTGACTGCTTGACCGGGGAACCGTTATACTGGTTGATAGCGGGCGAGACTCCAAAGTTATAGTATCCAAAGGGACTGTCCTGGAAGATGTCGATCTCCGAAGTGACATTATCTGTTCCGCGCTCGAATCCGTACAGCATATCATCGAGAGTCAAAGTAGGGTTGGGTGTAAGTTGTGAAAGGGAGTCATCCTCGGGGAGCAAGGCGGCTACACGTTGATAGGTAGCGTCAACCATAGACTGGACGCTCTCGCGGTGTAACCGAAGGTTGGTAGTAGGGGATACCGACGGTGGAGGCATAGGTGGTGCCTTGAGTTTCATTGCCGGTGTTAGGGGCGGAAGCATTTGGCCAGACTTGGTAGCCGAAGCTTGACGTAGCGGGGAAGAAGAAGGGGGAGCGTAGCTGTATGAGCGGCCCTTTGATGGGCTATCGTATGATGATGTTCGAAGGCGAGCGATCTCCTCCTCAGCCCGACCCGTACTGAGACGCGGATGATCTGCAGAGTTAAGCAGGTTGGAATGCTGACTAGGGCGCAAGATTGAAGAATCAAGCGATGAAATATACCCACTATCGTCCATCGAGGTGGTCCACTTCTTGCGGCGTCCTTTGGTTCGCGGTTGGGGAGGCGTTGTGCTGTGCCGGGCCTCTAAGTGCTTAGGAACTGGCGGCGAGGATTGTACAATTGCAGGAAGAGGCGAGTACAAGTTGGAGTCATTAGACACTCCATGCTCAAACCCTTGATATGTGACATCCTCCACCGATCCAATCTCGGATGCGGGAATCGTGGCGTCTGATGATAGCTCTGGAAGGAGAGGCATCAATGTGGCCTGTGATGACGTCGGGCGAGGGGCCAGTTGAGCTTGTGTTGTAGGGGGCTGCGGTGGTAGAACGGGTTCATCTGGCAGGGGCGCCTGAGGTGGCTGAGGTCGTGGTGGTGGTGCCTGTGATAGCTGCGGTTGAGGTTTGTTGGCCCGGGATGACGGAGAGTTGGGTTCTTGTGGCTGAACTCCGAGTGGCTGAGATGGCTCAAGGCGTGTCGACATGACTGGGAGGTTCTCGGCCGAAGGTGGCGCTTTCCTTGATGGCTTCTCCTTCATAAAGAACTGCTCAGCCCCCGGTTCGATGGCCCAATAGTTTCCCTTGCCCGGATCGTCCTTTGGTCGCTCCTGCTTGATGAAATGCTTATTCAGACTAAGGTTGTGTCGGATGCTGTTCTGCCACCCGGAATCCGAAAGCTGGTAAAAGGAGAAAGTCTCGGCGATCCACTTGTATATCTGAGAAAGCGTGAGACGCCGTTGTGGTGAGCGCAGAATGGCCATCCCGATAAGCGTTGCATAACTGTGATGAGGTTTCGTTCCATCGTCTATTATCGGAGGGAACGAGCCGGGCTCTGGCACCGGTATAGGCTCGCCTGTATTCTGTTTCTTCGCCGGCCTCGATTCCTTATCGGACGTGGGTGAATCAGTCAACACTCGTTTGCCGGAAGGTTTCTGGTAGAAATTCTCGAGGGGTAGGTTGAACTGGGTCGGCGCCGGGAACATGGTCATTTGCGGGCTCTGGTCTACAAACTGAAGGTTGGTGAGATTCTGCGCTGGGGGCTTTGAAGCAACTGTTTTGAACCTAGACATGGGTTGTTGTTTGTGCAAAGAATCAGTCGACGGAGCCAAAGCGCCAGGCAGGGGCATCTGAACGTGGTTGAGCTTCTTCTGACCCTGAGGGGGCTTGGTAGGGGCAGAGGAAGAATCTGATATCCGTGCGTTTGCCGGCTTCAAGGGCGATTTCTGCAGAGGCGCCATGGTACTTGGTGGTTTGAGCATGACACTGTTGCTGTTGGCAGGCTGGAGAGGACGACGAGGTGGTTTTGCTGCGAGAGGCATCGGGGCCTGACTGATGACGGGTGTTGTCTGGTCATACAAATCGTCCTGGTAGATCTGAAGCGGCTGGACCGCCCCATAGCGTGCTTGCTTTGCCATCATGGCGGCTGTGGGTGTGAGGTGTTCCGGAACGGGAGAACGAGTCCAGGGATGGAGGCCGGTTCAGGAACAGGCAGATAGCAAACAACGAGTCGGTGCTAACTGTTCCTCGGCACAGCGGACACTGGTGGTTCGGCGATGGTGATATTGCTGTCATGCGCAGGCTGATTTTCCGTAGCAGTGGGCCTGAGGACTTTGAAACTGGACCGGGGTGATAGTTGACTTGTGCTTTTCCTTGGAGCCACTATGTTGCGACTGAATGTTGGCTGGCGAATAAGGTTGTCGCCGTCAAGCTGATTGCGAACGAGTGTCGGTTTGTGAGGTCACACGTATTTCGATGTCGTCGGTAGGTCAAAAGCCAAGAGAGGCTCCGTCGTCGGTCCCTTGATGATCCTGAAGTGGAAGTATAGAGGTAGAAGGAAGCTAGTCCGTGGAGTTAGATGTAGGAAGGTGGAAAGTGGAACAAGAGGCACTGGGCTGGAGCCGTCTTTGGGTTGGCGGGTAGTATAAGTGC